TTCTCGAAAATCGTAGAGCTGTTGTCATGGAGCCTCATGAGCGCAAAGTGCACGCTCTTGTTCAACACCTTCAGCTTATTAGGAATGAGAAGGTATGTATGTTCTCCTTGATCAAACTTTCTGTAACTGGCATTTCTGATCAAAATTTTGGACTCTAGGCCTTGAAAACTCTGACAATTCATAGCTCGATTTTGAATTTGATTCAGAAAAGGACTAGTTATGAGTTATCGCCTTTCCTTGTATCTTTCGAGTGAAGTTGGTTTCTCAATAATTGCTGTATGACTACAGCAAATTATCTTTACTCATCTTTGACCTCAGCCAAATTGTCTTATATGGAGGAAGTCACCTATTGTCCTTGGCATTTTAAAGTCCCTAACTGCCAATGACTGTTTACAGATGAAAAAGCGAAAACTTAAGGAAGAGGAGAAGAAAAAAGCACATGAAGCTGAGAAGGCAAAAGAAGAGCAGCTGTCAAAAAAGCGCACGAGAGAAGAGCGGAGGGACAGATACCGGGTACAAGATAGATTAAACAAGAAAATCCGGAGAAACTCAGGATCATGATTCTGCGTTGCCAGTTCACTGTGAGTTTTAAGTGAGTGAGTTTCACTGAGACCGTCATCTGTGGGAGTTTTGCAGTGTCTTGAGGGTGAAGAGGTTTAACTCATGAGTTCTCCCGTGACTGTAAAATCCTTGTTATCAGCCATGGGCTTGGAGACTAAATGGAATATTGGTTGGCCATGGATTTCTCGAGATTGTAGTAGGATAAGCTTTTAGTGTATTGAAGATTTTTGAGATATAACAGTCAATAGCGATGATCAATTTTGTAACTTTTTCTTCCCTAAGATGGGATTAGATACGCTTGTATGTTGTTGGTAGAAACAAAATTCATTATTAAAGCACCTACTATATATATCGAGCTTAACCTCTGAAACTGTTGTTCTATATTTTGCCTTTTTTGGTCCACAGCACAACGCCAGCTTGGTGTTAGAGTTCATCTGTCCCGCACGAATAATGGAGACTATCGGAAGACTTGCAGACATACAAGTCGAGGATGTCAGTTTACTGCCTGTATTTTGAGTGCATGTAAAATAGGAGGCAGGGAGTGAATCTAGGCATAGAGTAAACAAGTAAGATCGTGGAATTAAAAAAATATAAAATGACCATTTTATCCTCAATTAGTTTGAATTGAAATTTGCGAGTCTCAAGATTTGTAAAATAATTAGAGATTTTTTTTTTTTTTTTATTGAGTTGGTATCATGCATTACTACTAATACCTTGTTAGCTTGATTTTGAGGGTTAAACTCTTTAAGAGTTGGTGTTATGAATCACTATTAGTATTTTACTAGCTTGACTTTGAGGGTAGAAAAACTTTGTGCATTTTCAAGTGCATGAATGTATTCAGTGTGGGACAATTCTCTTATTCTTAATTATAATTTGAATTTCTAAACTTTCATTGATTAACAATTTTAATTCGAAACTGTCAATTGAGTCACTAAACACCTTACAGTGTAATTCAACAATAGATAGTTTAAACTCCATTTCAGCCAAAACATAATAGTAACAAATAGTTTAAATCATTTAGACTCCAACAAATTGCTATTTTTTCAATGAACAAGTTTTCATATGCATAAACAGATAAAAAAAATTTATTAACCATATCCAAACCATGGACATCTTGTCTTGTCATTAAAAGATATATAGTAAGAAAAATTCATAGCTTTTCAACTGATTCTAACCATATATACAAGTAAATTAACAATGTAATGTACTAACTAGCTAAGCTTGTAAGTTTAAGGTGTAAAGTACAAATTGTTGATAGGCAAAAGGGTGCATATAGCAATTAACCATTTATTTGTTTTTTTTTAAAGAGGTCTGTATAAATGTAAAAGAGATCCAGGACAAATCCCTAAACCACAGATCCTCCAATGACGGCGCAATCAGCCGAGACCTCAGCAGGGGAAAGATGTGCTATCAGTACTATTACTTGGTAGTCTATCCATTTTTCTTGATTGCTAAGGTCTCAGAAAAGCTGTCAAATTCACAGAGGCTCTGAAATCAAATCTCAAAAAGGGCATCTCAGAAAGCCAATTGTTGTTCTTCTCCATCAGCTCTTGGCTCGCTATGGTGCCTACACCACCCAAAAAACACAGTCACAGAGTGATGGGGCCTGTAAGTTGCTGCAATACGGGGAAGGGGTGCGGTGGGGTGGAGGTAACGGACGGAAAAGTGGGGTGCAGGTGGCCTCCCGGGTGGCGAAGGCGGAGGGGACGAGGGAAGGAGGTGGGCTTTGAAAATATCCAAGAAACTCATAAAATAAAACACTTTTGTTTTTGTGGACAGGGTAACTTTTCTATTCTACTTCTACGGATCAATACAGCCGCTTGTAAAACTTTCAGGAAATCCTAGAGATGAATGCAAGTCAAGGTTTCGATCCCTTGATCTGCACCTGTGATGGCCAACTACTCTAAAAGATGGTTGTGTTGGTTTTAGAAATGTTTTACAAGCACCTAAAAACTCCCTGTTCGAACGCTTCTGTATCTTTTACATTCTTTTGAGAATTGGATATTCATGCTCATATAAGTTTCAGTTGTTAAGATTAAGGTTCGATCATAAAAGGATATCATGTCTTGATCTCCTTATTAAACAGGTTCTCTCACGGAAGCTTTACTCTGGAGGAATTGTAGTCTAAAGAAACATACTACTGTAAATGGGAATGAAGGGAATGAGGTTGGACGGCATTAGGGATGGCAGTGGGCAGTTTTGGACCCTGTCTTCAAATAATTCCTCTAACCCCGCCCCACTGGTGGGCGTCCACGGGTGGAAACTCGTTTTTTTTTTTTTTTTTTTGGTTTTGGGAATCAAACAACTCAATAGACTACTACTAGTAGGGGTGCCTGTGATCCAAAATATTGATCCGACTTGCAAAAATCGGGTCAATCATTTCGTGATTTGTATTCGGATCTGTTGATGCAAATATTCGAATATCTGCATTATGTAGATCGGATCAATTGGATATCCAATCCGTATTTGATTTTTAAAATTTTAGAAAAAAATTAAATTTTTTAAAGATAAAATGAAATTTAAATGTATTAGAGTTTCAAAAATATCAGATATTTATTTTTTCAAAAATATCATATACGTGATACGTTTTACTTGCATGTGAGTTTTTACTCATAAAAAAAAAAGAGATTTTAGTTGAAATTAATCTTTGTTTGTTGCAATATAAAGTAACTTCCATATTCTTTTCTTACTTTGATTCAAACAAATAAGATTAAATATTCCATCTACAATTTTTTTATACACAAATTATCTGACAATATGTTCAAAAACTTGACATTATATACAATTGTCGTCCTCCTCGTCTCTCGCCCCATTACTTCGTCATAGAGCAGGCACCCTCTCCACAATTGTTATCCTCCTTTAATAGGATGGGAAGGATTTCTTTCTTTCTTTTTTTTAATCAATTGCTCAAAAGATCATCACCATTACACGAGCTAATTTCTAGGAATATTGTGTTTTCCGTTAAAAAGTTTTAGCTTTTTTAAGGTTTATGTCAAATATCTTTCTAGTCTTTGCGTTGTTTAAGTTATAGTTTTTGCACCTTAGTCCTTCTATGATTGTTTGAATTTTAAAAAAAAGAAAATATTCTCTATCTAATTTTAAATACACCTATGAAACTTCTATATGTTGCACTTTTAAAGTCCTTCTAAGTGAAACTAATCATACCCTAGTCATTATTGAGCAAGATTTGAGTTGTTGGGTGAGGTTCCTTTGGGATATAAACAATTAAAAATGGAACAGGGAAGGAAAAAAATGACATTAGCGAACGCAATAAATATTCAACATGAAGAGATATTCTAAACATATAACTATATATTGTAAACATAAAAGACTCTAATGATGAAAGCATTGATTTAGACCTAGGATTCTATGCACCTTGTGTAGTGAGCTTAGATTCAGATTCTGAAAATGAAGATACATTTTTTTTTTAGATGAACTTAACATGAAAGAGGAGGAAGCCTTTATCTCTACAGCTAATCCAAAACTCCACTTTTCTATATTTCAGGAGGGAAAGTGTTAGTTACATGCAATATCTTTCTATATATAATGCATTAGTAATAGGTTTAGTTTTTAAAAAAAATGTCATTATTTATTTTTTTCAATTTTACCCTTAAATGATAAAATAATATACAACCATCTCAAACTCCACATTCACATGTTTACATAACTGTTACTACTATACTTGTCAACCATTATTATATTTATCTAAAATCTTCCTACTAACTTTGATAATAAAAAAAATAGAAAATCACATAATTAATTCTTTGGTGCAACTAATTTGTTATTTGTATTTTTTTTTGCATTATTTATTTTTTCTAAAAAATATGCACATACATAGAATGTGTCTCACCTACTAGTTTTCAATGACTACCACTTACTACCCACTGTTTTAAAAAAACAAAAAAAGTGAGTAAATTTTTTTTTTTCATTTAGTTCGCTTTCGTTTACTTCGGGCAAGTAACTTTCCCACTAATCAAATAAAACCTCAAAATTATCGTTTACACATAATTAAGAAGGAAAATCTTTACACATAAAATTATCGTTTACACATAACAAAGAAGGAAAATCTAAAAAATTGGATAGTTACAAATTCTATTTGCCTAAGTTGTCATTAAGCTAGTGTTTTTAATTTTTTACCTCAAACTTTTGACTAATTACAAATTCTATTTGCCTAAGTTGTCATCAAATAAGTTATTTGATTTATTGTGGATTCCATATCAGCTCATTTTAAAATCGGGAAAAATCCATTTTTCATCCTCAAACTTTGTGACTAAGACACATTTGGTCCCCAAACTTTTTGACCAGACACATTGAGTACATGTATTAACTATTTTTTGCCACATTTAGTCAAAAAACGGGAAAATTTTCAATTTGGACGGTGAAACCCACGTGGCCGTTAACTTATGCATCGGGAATCAATGCAAGTCAGACTAAAGTCCACACATTCTCTCTCTAATGCAAGTCGACACAAAATGTTGACTAAAAGTACACTCAAAGTCTAAGGGTGGAGCTCCTTTTCCTCTCCAAGTTTATCTCTTTCCCACCGAGCTTGTGGAGTGAAAAGCTGCGTGAGATTAGCAGAGGTAGGGGAGTGATTCAACGAAGCTTTGAGTGTACTGGGAGTGATTCAAGACATTCCTGTCTGAAGCGACTGACTTCTATAGCAATTTGACCAAGGCTTTCAGAGAAGTTTGTGGTCTGCCAGGGGAGGTGTTCTTGTATAACAAAGGAGACAGTTCATTTTCTACTGAACAAATGAAATTGAGCAAGTGTCAGTTTGCATGCCACCGCTTTCTAATATGTCTTGGGGATCTTGCTAGATATGGCGAGCTTTGTAAGAAACAGGATGCTTCTAAATGGTCGGTTGCGTTTACTTACTACTTAGAAGCAAGCAGGATATGGCCAGCTAGCGGGAATCCCCATAATCAAGTAGGTTTCTTCATATTACTTAATGATGAACACAGGCTTTGTTTAGCTCTAGAATGTTAGAAAAGCTTTGTATCTGTCATTTTTGCTCTTACACTATTTTCAGTTCCAAATTCTCTACTAGTGTTGGGGACAAGCCTGAATTGGCGAACAAAAGTCACTTTTGAAACCATCCTGCGGACCTTGTTTCATTTCTAGATTGATTCTTTGGCAACAGTTGGAGCAATTGTTTAATCCTGATTTTTAAGAAGTTTCTACATTCAAATTCATTTGTTAAACTTATTCTACTGTATATTTCCTCGATCTTAAAATTTGTGTTTCTTTGCAGCTGGCACTGTTAGCAACATATGTTGGCGATGCTTTCCTGGCATTGTACCACTGCACGAGAAGTTTAGCTGTTAAAGAACCTTTCCCTGATGCATGGAATAACCTTATGCTACTCTTTGAAGAGGTAAGAGTTCTTCTTTTTTATTTTTATTTTTTTCATCCTTGCCTTTTTACCAAAACTATATGTAACAAAAGAGGAAGGAGGGAGGTAAACTCAGTAATTTTACTTGTAGTTTTTAGAATTCTTTGCTTTATTTTTAAATTTGATTTTTGAAGTTAAGTAGTTAGGAATCTATTGTTTCTTCTGATTTTGCAGAACGGGTCATCCCATCTGTCTTCACTTTCCAGTGAGACACACATCGATTTGTTAAAGCCATTTGAAAAAGTCTCCTTGCAGGCCGCACCACAGTCTCTCACTGGATCTTCAAATAAGAGTAACTTGGAAACTAACAACATCTTTTCTACTGCAAAAACTGAACTCTGGCCCCTCTTTGTGAGATTGATAAGTTTTTTCCTTGGGAGATCCAGGTAATTAGAGCAACACAATATTCTCTTGATCTGACTTATATTCTGGCTAACCCATCAGAAGACAACAAACAGGATTAGTCCCTGCTGATTTTGTGACTATTTTCATTTCTGTTATTAGTTATGGTGCTTGTGAAGATAAAAAATCATGTTGTTATTTGCTATTACTTCTGTGTGGCGGACCATTAGTTAGTCAAGCTTGCAAGAACGCATTTTAACTGGGTCACTCCGTAGCAAACTCGGCAAGTTTAGTAGGTGTAGCCTAAGGCATGGTATATCTTTCTTGAATTTATTTGGAATATCATCCTACAAACTGGTCGAGATCATCACCTTAATTCTCTCAGTTCCCTGTTTGGGAACAACAGGGAAATTCGTTATCATCTCCTCAATTCCCTTTTTGCGAACTGCAGGGTGGATGTCAGAGAAATAGTGAATTTTTGCTGATTGAAGAGGAACTGATATTGTAGTTGACTGATTTAAACACCAAAACTCCACTATTTGTGTCGACTTGCATTAGAGAGAGAATGTGTGGACTTTAGTCTGACTTGCATTGATTCCCGATGCATAAGTTAACGGCCACGTGGGTTTCACCGTCCAAATTGAAAATTTTCCCGTTTTTTGACTAAATGCGGCAAAAAATAGTTAATACATGTACTCAATGTGTCTGGTCAAAAAGTTTGGGGACCAAATGTGTCTTAGTCACAAAGTTTGAGGATGAAAAATGGATTTTTCCCTTTTAAAATCCATTGATTTAGAATCTTTCCTAGAATCCAATGTCTTGCATCCAATAAGATCCTTAGAAAATTTTCAGTAGCTTAAAAACAACTCAATCCGACATGAAAATTCTTTATTTCAAATAAAAAAATGTTAAAATGACAAACAAATATTGGACACAAATAATATCACAACTATTTATTATATACATACTACATCGCTATATACATGGGCTAATTGCTTAGAATATATATATAAAAAAAACATCGCACAAATGTATCTCTGACACACTCTATTTCTCATTCTCAGCACAGCAGCAGAATGAATTGTAAACTCTGCAAAAATATCAGTGGGACAGCGGCCCACAATTTTTTTTTAAAATTAGCCTCTCCCCAGCTGTGTTGACTAGGCACGACTAGGGACAGGCGGTCCAAAAAAAAAAGGGCCAGGGGCCTTTGTTTGTCAGCCTTTCTCAGGCTGATTTCTCAGCCTTTCTGTATCCTAAATAAATTTCATTACTTTAATTTTCAAAATAACCGATTAAACTAAATTTTAACCATAATCTTAAATATATATAATTATATAATTCATGTAGAATTACTATATAATATAATTCATATAGAATGGAGGGAACAATTTATTAAAATTATTGGTTTTTACATGCATAAAATACTTTAATTAAGTAAATATAAGAAACCTGCCCGTCAATCAAAGTACGACCTTGTCGTGCTACGGGACAAAAGCTTTGCCTTTCAAGGTACATTATTTAATCAATAATTTAATTGTTATCAAAAATAGAAGTTGGACTATTTAATCAAAAATAGAATTTAATCAATAGAAATTGTTATCAAAATTTCGAGAGGTTTATCCAATTGTAAATATTTTAACTCACGATCAATTGTCATGACAAGTGACGAGAACAATAAAAAAGAAAAAAGTTATAATCTGCAAATATCAATAAAAAAATTTTGGGGAAGAGATTGATATAGATGAAGAATTCCTGTAGTCGTGGACTTTTGTAAGATATCATATATGCTGCGTGTGAGGTAAAAATGTAGTTAAAAAAAATATATAGAATGGAAGATTCTTGGAAGATGCAAAAATGTTGTTTCGGAAAAAATATTGATTCGAATTGGTTGTATTATTACGTACGCCAAGCCAAAGTAATTATAATAATTAATTCCTGTTTATTGGAATACATGAATCCTTCTTTAATTAACAACTATTATGCATTTAATAATGGTTTAATAATAATACAAAATTGAAGTAAAAGACAAATGGAATACTTACAATACAAAAGGCATCTGGGGACATGAATAGTGAGGTTAGGTTAATGTATTTATTTTAAAAATTAATGAAATGAAGTATATTTAAGATTATGGTTAAAATTTAGTTTAATCAAGTTATTTTGAAAATTAAAGTAATGAAATTTATTTAGGATACAGAAAGGCTGAGAAATCAGCCTGAGAAAGGCTGACAAACAAAGGTCCCTACCCTTTTTTTTTTGACCGCCTGTCCACAGACGTGCCCAGTCAGCACGGTTGGGGATAGGCTAATTCAAAAAAAAATTGTGGGCCGCTGACCTACTGACATTTTTGCAGAGTTTCTGACAAATAGCCAGAGATACATTTGTGCGATGTTTTTTTTTTGGGAAAATTGCAGAAACCTCCCCTGAAACTACTGACAGTTGCACTGAGCTCCCCTCTAAGTTCTGAAATGGCAGATAGCACCCCTCAACAGGAACATTAAGTTGCAAAATCAGTCCAGGCAGCTTCAATTCCCATTAAAAAATTAGCTGTACAAGTGAGATAAAAAATTTGTTCCAAATTTGCCCTGATGTTGGTTGACAAGTAGTATTAACAAGGGAGGGGCTTTTTCATTAAGCACAAGGAAGTTCAGGGGGTATAAATGCAACAACATGCTTCCAGATGATGACCTGCAACAACTTCATTTGCTGAGAAACCAACGGCTACTTAACGGCTAATTGATGTAACTAAGGCACTAGCTTATAAACGATGGTCAGTAGCAAAATGAATACCAGAATCTGGACTCATGTATGCAGCAGCAATTTTCCAGCTCAAAACACAGCTTGCTTGATACTCAGTTTGGCAGTTTCAAGTCATATTGCAGAAATCAGAAAATGGCTTCTTCCAGCCACAGGAGAACATCATGGAACTCTCCTACATCCTTCACAATACAAAACAAATATTGCTGGTGCAATAGAAAGGCAACATTGAAGATTTCTGAGTCTGAAAACAACCCCAACAAATTATACTTTTTTGGGTAAACAACAAAAAAGCCCCCTGTGGTTAGGCAATCATACATAAAAACCCCTTGTGGTTTCATATCATACCAGTCGATACCCCGTGGTTTGAATTAACCTGAAAAGTGGACGGAAATCGTCAAATATTCGGCGTGTGTCTTAAACGAACTGCAAAGGCGCGTGCATATGCGAAAAACAGATTTCCACCACAAACTTTCACCTGATATGCCTATTTTAGCCTTCACTCTTTAATAATAAGAGACCAGCTTCCGTTTCTTCTGAGTCTTCATTCAATCTGTTTCCAGATTATTCATTAACTACTGTAGACACCAAATTTTTAGTGTATTTTTATTTACTGTTATTTTTATTTTTCATGCTAGTTTTTATTTACTTTTAGTCTTTTATTTTTGTTTTAAGTCATTTTAGCATAGAATTTATTTTATAAAAAAAAAAAGAGGGAAACCCGCAAGCGGGTTTCAGGCTATTTAACAAATTACTTTAAAAAAAAAAATTTTTTTTACATGCAAGCTGCGTTGAGTTGCACATGCCCATCGGAGGGCCCTAGGATGCCCAGCAAACCTCCCCTCTCATCCTCACCCTTCAGGTGAGGGTTTGAGAGTATGTGTTTGATATAAATAGAACAGAAACGCAGCTTTTAGTCATTTTACATAAGGGGGAAACCCGCAAGCGGGTTTCAGGCAGGCTATTTAACAAATTACTTAAAAAAAAAAAATTTACATGCAAGCTGCGTTCTTCAAAAGGGTATTTTCGTCTATTCACTCAGCTCCGTCTGTTTTGCCGATTTCCGTCCACTTTTCAGGTTAATTCAAACCACGGGGTATCGACTGGTATGATATGAAACCACAGGGGGCTTTTATGTATGATTGCTTAACCACAGGGGGCTTTTTTGTTGTTTACCCTACTTTTTTTGTGCAAAATGCAAGTACTTCCAGTGGTATGAGGGTCCAGAAGAAGAAGAGGTTAACAGTAGAAACTATGACACCAATTCAGTGCTACAATCGCACCTACAGCAACAAAGGTCTATGGCTGTTAGAAGGGAAATGCCAATTGTTCTGACAAGTGCAGTGGCTATACTTTTCATCATCAATCTCATACTTGTTGCTGTTTATGTTTTCATCCATATTGTGAAGTCAATAGGCTGATGCTATCCAGAAATGTACATTAGTGATGAAGTAGATATAGCTGCAGTTCGAATTTATATGTAAGACATAGGAGAGGAACAAGTTCCCTTCATCATGTATGCAGCAGCGTTTGTAGTTTACAATATAAATGCAAGCCAGAGTTCTGTTTATATCTACTGTCATCAATACAAAATCACTTGTTACCAACAATACAAAACAAAACAGTCACAGAAGCATACTTGTATTACAAGATTAATGCATTAATACAACAAGTCTGATCAGAATTCAGTAATTTGAAGTACTACAAAAGTGAAACACAACAGGCAAGTAATAGCAGAGCATGACTGAGCAATCCACAAAAAGTTCAAAACACCATCTGAACCATTAAATCACTTAGAACAGATGGTGAGGATTGCAATGTCATGAGAGGCAGAAACATGTCTAAAACTGCCACAGTATAGTACAAAATAGCTCTGTTATGTACATAATTAATGGCATACTACTGAATTGATACTTTCAGCAGTAAGCATTCACTTGCCAAAACTATAGAGATAATATCAGAATTGCATACTAAAACTGCTATTGTTGCTAACATTTGTTGAGTGCAGTGTTGTAGCTGCATTGATGGATTCAGATGCAGGTGTAGCAACTTGAAATGTAGCAATTTGCTGATGACCAGCTTGTTCCACAATTTGAGTGATCTGAGTAGTATTTGAGTAGTTTCTCTTGCTGCTCCCTCTAGCAGATGCTCCAGTATTGCTTAAAGGTCTTCCTCTCTGTACAATCACACGTGTTGAACATTACACTCAAGCATTTTATTAAAGCATATCATAAAATGCACTCATTCAATTGCACCTTTTTCTTTGAAGTGGTTGCTGTGCTCTGATTCTGCACATGCACATTCACAGTTGCAGGTGCAGGTTGAGTTGAAGGAGAATGATTGTTGCCTTGGCTTGAGTATACAACTGGAACATTGCCAGAGACATGATCCTAGCAGTAAACATTGACAAGTAATATTAGTTTCGACAAGGCATGTGCTATAAATGTTACAATCAGAAGCTTAAATAAGTTAAAAAATCTTACCCAAAGA